TTTCCCTACTAATCTATGCACCTCCAGGAAAGAAATAAAGAACAATTTATCCTGCTAATTGGATGCAGCATGATCCATGTTCCCTTCTGCTGACATTCCTAAAGCTAAGTGTGCCAGTGGTAATAAGATCTGGACTCTAGGCAGCAGTAACTAGAAATACTCAGTTAAAAGCAGTGTATCTAGGGTCAGCATGAACCAGGTTTGTTAAGAGCTTTAGCATCCTAACAGAAAAGGAATAGGTTTTATAACTTCTTTATGTACCTGAAATATATAACCAATCACTTTTGAGGCTTTAAAATGTACTTTGCAAATTGTTTTAATAAACAATGGCTACGTCATAGCCAGTTTTTTCCACTTCAAGTCCTTTTCATTAGCTGGTACTTACAGGAGAATAGTAGAGAGGATGAAGAAGAAAACTGCACTACTAATTAAATTATAGTAGATCCACACTACCCATTTTGAGGCAGTATAATTCTCCAGTATTTTTATCCACTCAGAGACTGCAGCATACATTGAAGGCAAACCTCTGAAAGGACCACATTTTTCCGAAGGTTTTAACCTGAAAGTGAGAAAATAGCTACTTAAAGCTTCATATATTAACCAGTGATTTAGTTAATATTGTGATTTTGTCCAAGATGCTATAGCCCTCTGCTAACTTTAGACCCTCAGGAACTCTCATCATCTAGGTTTGATTTTTATCTGGGTTCACTCTCTAGCCATTATAATGCCCACTCCAGACTATGCAGTGAGAGGCAAGAGTCCCCACTGCCATGGGTTGGTACTGAGTCCTGTAAACACAATCTTCACCTAAAAGTCAGTCACTGTAATATGAGCTACAGCAAATTAAGAATTTGGATTTTCAGAGTTTTACCACAGGTGCTTAAGGGAATCATCATTTCACCCTGCCTTTGAGGACACATGTCCCTACAGCTTTTCAGTAACAACAGGATGTGGTGAAGTGAGGCAGTCTGGAGCAAGAATTAACATTTTCAGGTAGACTGAAATAGGGAATAGTTGTTTGCTTTGAAACTAAGCACCTCAGTCAGTCTGAAATTCCCACTTGCCATCTGGAAATGTTTGCTCTGAAATACTTCATCCACCTGGTTTCATGTGTAGCCACCTGTCTTACTACATATTGAACTCATGTCGCTGAAAATTGCCAAGAAAAAGACACGGGGTATCCATGCTGTTCTGCTTATTGTGAGGGAAGCAATATGCACAGAGCAAACCAGTTAAAAAATACTAGTAACAACCAAGATGCAGTACTGCAGAGGTCAGCACTCCTGCAAAAAGAGCCTGGGAGTTTAGAAAATTATCCAGAAGTTAACCTCAATTGATTTCTCCCGGTGCTTCTCCACTGCAGACCCAGTATGGCCTGTTAACATAAATAAGACCAGGAAGTAGGACTAGGTTGCAGAAACTTCTGAGCAGGAGCAAAAGCCAAATTTGCTGTGACATTCACGTAGCAACCCAAAACTTCAAGGTTACTTTTCTTCTCCTCCCACCTTCTTATGGGACAAGTTACTGTGTTAACCACAAACTCTGAGTGTCCCTGTTTTCAGAATAGAGAACATCTCATGAACATCTGAAACCTTCTAGACAAAAATGCAGATTCTTCTGCCTGGCATCAGGTCACACAGCAGAACATAGTAGGCTTGAACACCAGTGATCTTCCCTACCTCCAGACAGTGACTCCAATCACAGACAGGACTCCGAGGAAGGAAGGGAAAAACAGCAGGAACATGAAGGATGTTGTCATTTGAGCAGTTCTCCAGGCTTTCCTAGGGGGCTGGCAATTCATCATCAGACTGACCTTTCAGGAGATGAAGGAACACTGGCTCTTGGAATGGTGTTACCTGACACTTGAACTCAGTTTAAGTCAATCCCACTGAAATTGCTGGTGGCAATTGCTGGAATAGCATCTATCAAACATTTCCAAGGCCTTATTTTATATTCATTTGATAGATAAACTGTGGCTTCAGAAAACTTCAGTAATATAGTCTTTAAATACTAAGAGACAAATGAAGTTCTGATGGGTTCTTCAGGACTGGTGGGTAGAGTTTGTTTTTGTAGGACACACAAACCCACAGATTCAATCTTTCTAGCTGCAGCCTTGTTCTTCTACATTCAACACTTCAAACCACTCAATGACCCAACAATCTATCATCTACTCCTCCTACTGAGACAAATAATTATGAAAAGAATAAATTGCTCCATGACCTTTAGCTGAATCACCCTGCTTACACTTAGATAACCTGGGGGGGTGGTGGTGTTTGCTGGGGATTAAGCAGGAAGCCTAAATCACATACATAGGCTGAGTGTCTATATTGACACATGCACTTGTACACCATTAATTCCCCAGCTTTCAATTTTACTACTTATTTTCTCCCCTCTCTAACTGTGCTCTTAACCTCTCCTATGACCCTTCCACACTTTTCCCCCTCTCAAGTTTCAGAGGTCTATAGAATGCATCTAAATTGTGTTACTTTAAAGCAACCCCTCCCCCCCCAAACCAAATTAACCAAACTGCTCCCCTAAATGCAAAACCCCACAGCATCCAGACAAAACCAGCACTTTAACACAAATTCTACCCAGATTTCAAATTATTTTGGTTTATGATGAATACATGTAAAGCTTGTTACCTTTTTCACAAAAAATACTATACAAAATGAAATAATCTGGATAGCAGGCAGGAGAGGTGAGAAGAGGATACCAATCCTACAAGGAAGGATTTATAAGAGGAAAGTTAACTCTTCATTATTTACCACACAGCTCTCTGTGTACTAAAAGCAAAAAGTATCACACTAACTTAATATATAGTTAGTGTTTGGTTATTTGGAAATGTAATTATGTTAACATTGATTCTGTAACAGTAAGTCAATCTTTAAAAATATGCAACTTCAAGCATACATATCTATATATATAGCTGCAAAACTCTTACAATTGGAGCAACATACTCATTCTTAGAAAGAAGGCATCTTTTCCAGGGTTTAATACTGAAATTATTTCAACAGGAACACCATCCCAGTGGGGAAGTAAACAAAACTCAAAGATGTTCCCTTCAGGGGCCTCTCCCATTACCTGCATAGTTACAAAGAGAACTGGTAATCAATCCTTACTAAAGGTACTTAATGTGCCACCTCTCTCAGGCATGTATCACTGTTCTCTCCCCATGACAGGAAGCACCCAGAAATGTCAGAATAAGAATGTTCCACAGCATTGCTAAGTATAAATGAAATTTTGGCTGTAAATGTGATACTTACCAGGTCAAAGTCTGTGCATAGATCAAATCTAAAACATTTCGTCCAATATCAAATTCTGGCAGCCCCAGGCTCAGACAGACTCTAGTTCCAATAATTCTGTAGGGGGGAAATCACAGCACAATAGTATTTGCTAAATGATAAACTCTTTGTAGAAATGTCTATAAAAGACCACCTGAATACAGGCATCAATGACAAATTATTCAAATTATTCATTAACCACATCATGCAAAGCAACCACAGCTTGTTGATTAGACACCACACCAAAAATGAAACAGTTTGGCAAAAGCAGATTCCCATAACACAGCAGGACTGAAGTAAAGACTGGGGTATTTTTTCATGCAACTCAAAAAAAAAAAAAGAGGGGGGGATGAAGGGGAGAATTTGTAACTGTACCAGAAAAGTATGCTTATGTTTAAAGAGTTGAAATGGCAAGTTGGCTCAGTACAAAAATGTAACACTTTTCAGTTCTTGAGTCCTGAGAACTTTCAGCCTCAATCAAAAAACTGCATACTTAAAAAGACTGATACTCTTGATACATCCTAAAACATGCCCTGCTTCAAACTAACTGACATTGCAAGTAGCTGAGACACAGGCGAGGAAGTGCTCAGAGGATTCCAACAATCTTTTTTATCCTGAGCTGGGGAGATTCAGTTTCTCTGTTGCAGCAAGATTTTGGTAACTATCCCATCTCACCTTGAACACAGGTCTTGGTACCACCTTATCAGCTGCAGCATCAACACTAATCCAGGGCTAGGCTTTCAGGCCATTACTCTGAACACATACAAATAAATATGAGCAGTTTCACTTTGAATCTTTTATGGCTGTAAGTCTGGCACTTTTGCATGACTTAGTGGAGAACATTGATCACAGCTGCCACCACAGTTGTGGTACTGTGACCTTTTGCTGGAAGGTGGTTTCCTACTTGAACAGAAGGAGGAATGAAGCATACAGACAAGAGCTGTGGAGGGAAAGTCTTCACAGGCTTCTCAATGTTGCTTTGTATTAATTTAACCTAAAATTAACAAAGCCCTACCTTGTAAACCAGTCTTGTTCACACCATGTGCAAAGGGTCTCTGACACAAGTATGGCCAGGAACCCTGAGTGTCCTGTAGAGCTGACAAGCAATTACATACTCTGCTATCTTAAGTCATAAACAATGTTTGGCAATGGGAAGGTACACAAAGGAGATGTCAAAGGTAAATAAATGACTTTTTTGCTTACATGCTTAGCTATGCCCATGTTCAGTCAAAAATAATTTTTCACTGTGCTGCAGAACTCTACACTTGGAAGTCTTATTACATCCTTAATAAGACTGATTAAAATAAGATTTTAAACTTGTGTACATTCTGTAGAGTGACAAAGAATTAATAGGAAAAAAATTACAGAGGGATATCTCCCAAGGAAAGCCAGCAGTGTGCCTGTGCATATGCAGAAAAGCAAGGTTTTCTGCTTGAGACACTTGGTCCTTTGTTACCCCATTCAGGAGACACACAAGAGGACAATGTGGCTTCCTCCCTGACTGTGTTTCCATCTCCAAAGGAAAAAAAAGGACACAATGGGAGAGCAGAATGGTGCACACTTCAGACTGCTCCTAAAAAGCAGCTGAATACACACAAGGCATCTAGCCAGAGACAATGCCTGGTAGAGACAACTGAGGAAGCTTCAGTGGTGCCACAGCCAAACTTCTGTTGGACTTTTCTCACACTGGAAAAAAAAACACATTTATAGTGTCTTTGGCTTATCAATAAAAACAAATTTAGAAAAGCAGCACTCACCTTCGTAAAAACTCTCCAAAAAAAGAGCCAAGCAAACAAAAGATGAAGTCAACTAGAACGAGACGATAGATATCTTGGCCAACCAGAGTCTCCCAGCACTTTAAGAAGCAGAGGGAAAAAAAATAATAAATTCATATGTAGAAGTCAGAAATCATGCAATTCTAACATTGTTCCCAAATGCTTGGGCATCTGAAACTTGAGCTACAGATCAAAGATTTGCTAGTAGTCTGACTAACCAGAGTTGACCTCTCATTGAACAATGCTGCAAACCAGCCAGGACTGGAGGTGGGTAGTTAATTTTTTCCTACAACACTGAGGTGGCAAATTGAGCTTTCCACGTCACTGCTTGTACTTTGCTGAAGCCTCTTATCACAGTGGTTCCTAACCTGGCACTGTAAGTCAAAGATTTGTAGTTTTGATACTTTACCTGTGACTCTGATGCAGCCACAATGTTAAGCCAGTAGTAGCACAGTATTCCAACAATTGTTATCTTCAGGATGATATTTCTAAACAGAAAAAGTAACAGTAACTGCACTGACAGCTAGTTTGTAAGCTCACTGGAGAAAATGATGACAGAATAACCATTGGTTATGCTTTATTACCCCCTCTTATTACAACAATAGCTCTGCAGAGTGCCAGGACCTAAGAGCAGCTCTCCTGGGAGCTCAGGTGCAGCATTCACCTGTTGTCCTGGCAGAGGTGAGCTGGGCATGACAACCTTGGCACAAGCCTCGACTAAATGGGCTGCTGGGTTGGGTGTGTGAGCTCCACAGGGAGAAAGGTCTGAGGGGCACCAGACATTCCACAGTGTTAATTCCAGGCATCTGTATTTAATCAGACCTCCTCTCTCCACTTTCCTTCCTTTCTCTGGGGGAGCAACAGCCCAGAGGCCACCTAGGGAAGCTACAAACAAAACCAAGCCAAGTGTTATAGTGGGCCTGAGAGGGAAACCATACCCCTTCTCATACAGAGATGTACACTCCAGAAGGCTCATAGAAAACAAAAACCATGAAGGGGAGAGTGTACAGAAGCCTTTGGAGAAGATGAATTCTCCTCCATAGCTCCCTGCTGCCCACCACACCTCCTAGACACAGCTTGCTGTCAAAAAGAACAGTCAAACAACTTCAGGCAAAAAGCAGTGAGAGGTGGTAGCAACAAATACCTGGATATAGTGACATATATCTTGTGTCCAGGAGTCCGAAATCTCTCAAAGTGTCCAAGCCATGAGTAGAAGAATGGGATGAATGCATTGAGGAGTGATGTGACAACAGGTAGCACCAGCATGGCAGCTTGGCTCTCTAGGTCATTTTTATGCCCTTTCACAAACAGCTTAGGAAAAACAAAACAACCTCAACTTAGAGCCTTAAGCTAAATGCTGCCTCAAATTGTATCCACAGGGAAGATGCCTGGCACACCTCCTGTATGCCTTCAGATCAGAAATTATCATATTTTATGAACCCATGTCTGGCAGGCCAATGACCCTCTCCACTTCCCCTCACATTTCATGGAACCAAGGGTGAGAGCCCTAGCTCAAATGCAGCTCCTAGACAAAGGAAAGGCCAGCCTTGCAGAGGCTTCTTCTTCCTGCTTCTTTCCAGGTCACCAGCTGCACTATCCCTAAGCTAGCCACAAACACAGGCAACCAGCTGTGGAGGTGAGGGGGCAGATTTACTCAGACCCCTCAGGCTCTGTGCTCTTGCCATAGTCCCCAACAGTGTGAGCCTTTGCAAACCAGCTCCTTAGGTATATCAGG